CGTGGTCAAAGGTTCCAGTCACCAGAAGAAGCAGTTGACGCATTCAAAAATGCCGTTTTGGATCTGCCAGCAAACGAGTGGAATAAGTGCTTCGAAAATTGGTTCGAGCGCATACAGATCTGTATTAAAATGTAGCGGAAAATAAAATAATACGTTGGTACGGGAGGTGCTGCAATAGAAAGTTGGAGTCATTCTTGAATTTAAACCTCTGGAGAAGTCCTGGTGCATCCACTCTGTTATGCAAAAGCTTATGGAGGAATGTCAGGCCAGCAGTGGAATGTCTTAATTGTAGAGACTCTAGTTTGAGACACCACGGCAGAACAAATTGACGAAATCCCCTTTCTGGATATGCGACATCAATTTTGTAAATAAAATATTCAAGATTTTCTTTGTAAATCTTATGAGATATTTATGTAGTATGCATAGAAAGGGTTCCATCTCAAAGAAGCGTACTCAAGTTTTGATCGTACCAGCCAAATAAAAAGAGCTTTTAGCAGCACACCTTGGAAAAATATCGACAGTTACGCATGATGAAAACCAAAACCTAGTCCTGGATGAAAATAGACTTCAACAGAAAGATTGATAGGATGAACATATTAAGAGGATACAGAAGGCTACAAAAAAGATTGTTAAAGACAATATACAGAGACGCCGGGAAGATCCGCGATTTTTAGAGAAGATTTTATGACTGATGAGTCACAATCAAAAAAAGATGGTAACATGAATCTACATAACTTACACAAGTGGCATGCAGTGAATCCACTTTTGATGAGACAAGATAGATCTCAGTATCGTTTTAAAGTGAACATGTGGACCAATATTCTAAACGGGAGAATAATTGTACCATTTGAGCTGCCAGAGTTCTTGAATGGCAAAAATTTATTTAGACTTTTCACAAAATCATTTAACAAATTTATTGAAAGACGTGCCATTAAGATAGATTTTTTTACTGGAGAGCTGTGGAAGAAAGAGTTGATTCCAAGCCAATCGTAAATTTAGCTGCGCTAAGGGAGAGGGAAACAGCTGAATTGTTAATAACGGAACATTCGCCTGTCTGATAACCTGATCATTTTTAAGATGTCAAGCTTGCATTGCTGCTGGAGGTACATTTATTTTAGATTTAATAAATACATTCACGAATTAATAATAGTGCCAGATTAGTTTTATTGTATTTTTGTATTAATCGGTTAAGTTTGAATGGTCCATGCAGCTAGACTTCTCCGTAAATAAAAACAATATTTATTTATTTTTGCATAATAGGTTATTCTAATCCACGTCCATGTTGTCGCACCATATCATGCAGACATTTTATTACAGTCCTTTGCCTAACAGGATTCATTTCTATTAAAATCTTTGCCACAAGAAGTGTCAATTCAACTTGACATATAAGCTTAATATCTTGTTAACATGGCTGCCAAAATCACTAGTTTTGCTGTTCACAACAAATAAGCATATACAAAGGGCTTAGCAGCGAGGCGTCCAGATCAATCCTCGTAGCAACTACCAGTTCCAATGAAAGCAGGTACTTCTACGGAATGGCAAAATTGAAACTAGTATGCATTTTCAAGCTACTACTAGCATATTAATTCTGAACATGGTCTAGAAGTCAATTTTGTCGCATGCAGTTTCACTGTGAGGATAATTACATACTTTCGAGTGATACCTTTGATAGTGCTAATTGGCGTCCCGATGAGAAGCATTTATAACAAGTACCTGTTTGAGATAGGACATGTATGGAAGCATACCGCTATCTATTACTTGTATCAACATTGTGCAAATAATGTACTACTTCTGAATAGGAAAGTATGTTTGTAGTGTGTGGCGTGCAGAAACTATTCATTACAAGGCGAGACCGAAACCCGTTATTAACTGCTCCTCCGATTTTAGGACATTAGGCTTTTGCGATTCTCGAATCACATGATATTCTGCGTTGTGACTGCTATGGCATTTAATCTAGCAATAAGGAGGGACATTGCGGTGCTAAAGAATAACCGGTATTGATGCCACTCAGTTGCAGATGGTGATAAAAGAAAGTATAAAGCTGTACTATTTCTGTGTAGGTCAAATATAGAGACTCAAAGATAAAGGATATACAAACTGAACTATCTATTTTCTTGTGTTTTGATTTGAAAGCCTCGTTGTCTGTCTACAACTTCTAGTTGTTCGCTGAGTATTCAGTAATTTAGAGCTGTAACTGCTAGTAAATGACGGCTGTTGGATTTTCTAACCATTGAAGGACTTCTAAGCTCACCTAGAAGGTAACTTATACTTTGAAGATATCTCGTCAGATCACCATCTGGTGGGCTATATAATATAACTTTTAATATGCTGAGTTACACGACCTCTTGTTTTTGGCTTTATGCGCTACATTTGACAAAATGACTAGTACACTAAAAAAAAGACATGCTGGAGATTCGACAACAAGGTTCCTTACTATCGTATGGCAAGTTTGCTATGGAAGCATCCAAATTGAGTTCATTTTTTTACACCGAAGCAGCCGCGCAGACAGAAACCTAAATGTCAGGGCACTGCGGCCGCTATGAGGAGCTTAGACTTTGTTAATCCGATTTTTGAACTGTTCTGGATATACGAAGTTCGACGGCGCGGCGTAGCGGTAGAAGAGAGCTAGATCGTCAACGGCTCGCCGGTGCTAAAGAGTTCCGACACTGTCCGCTAGACAAGAGTCATCGATCAATCGGACAGCCCTTTTCTGAACAGCATCGAGCATAGATAATTTAGTAGGGGCGGCAGCACCCCAAACATGTGAGCAGTACTCGAGTCTAGGTCTTGTACAAAGTGAGGAAGTCATGTGGAGAAAATAACTTCTTAGGCCTAAACAAATAGTCAAGCTTTTTCTCAGCAGCTGCCGTTATTGACGAGAGGACTGCCGTCAGAGAGGAAGTCGCTGCAAGTCTGCTTTTCTCCAGCTCACCAGCAGAGATCGGCTTGTCACTCTACTTTCTTAGATGTAGAGTGCTGTCATCGGCAAAGCTGAGGATTGGATTGACGATACAGGAAATCAGGGCCTTGATATGTAAGAGGAACAATGTCGGAACCAAGACTGATTCCTGGAGAACACCGGCGTTGACATTGTGCGATGAAGAGGAGTACCGGATATCTTGCGACCAGAGAGGATGTCAGCCACCTATCTCAAAGCTTCTCTGGGAGGCCATAGGATGGAAGTTTGCATAAGAGGGCAGCATGCCACAGCTGATCGAACGCTCTCGTAATATCAATAACAACGACATGAACCTCACCATAAGACTGGGTGAGTTTACTCTACAGATTCGTGACCTAAGCTAGAAGAACCCTTGCGAATCGCTGGCGTTGGAAACCATACTGCCCATCGCTAATCAAGCCATGACGTTCGAGGTACTTCAAAAAGCTCCAGATTTATGCAGCTCTCCATCACCGTACTTGCAATAGAAAGCAGAGCTATAGGTCGGTAGTTGTAACGATCGTTCTTAGATCCTTTTTTCCGGATGGGTTAGACATTTCCAGTTTCTGGAAAAGTGCCGGTATCGTAAGGTATCTGGAAGAGACGGGAAAGAACTGGAGCAAGTTTCGCTGTACATATCTTCAATACAACGGCAGGAATCAAGTCCGAATCACAAACTTTGTTGATATCGAACGACAAGAACACCTGTCTCAAGGTCTTATGCCTGAATGTTACTTCCCGCATAGTTGGGAACCCTTTGAATCGATGGCACTCAGGCGTTGGGGGGACGTCCATGGTGGAGTTAGCAACAAAGTCCAGCTACAACTAGGTTCTACTATTTTACGCTCAATAACAAAGGCCGTATGTTTATTTTAGAATGATTTGTGTGAGTATCTCTCTAATTCATTTTGTTTATTCTGAGCAATAAGCGAAACCACATATGACAAGTGAATAAGGTTAGTGACGATTCACAGAGGTCCAAAGGACACTTTCAAAGAAAACGGAGTAGTTGAGCTCAACCACATCTCATTTAGGTTTTTCTTGTCATTGGATGCGAGGCAAAGATCATATAGTCACTGGCAGCATTTTGAACCCACCCCAAGGACAAATTCTAACAAGGTCTAACATTCAGATCCAGGCACGCATCACATAGGGTTTTGAGGTCATTGAGACCAAATCATAAGTCACCTTGTTTCTAGGAAGGCATTTGAAGGTAATTTCAAGGACACTCAAAACTAACACTAATTACAACCGTTGATACAGAACCTCTTCAGTTTGGTGGTAATAAAAGTGTTGACCAACTTATTATTTAAGGTGTTTGTTAGCTTTGAAGCAGATACAAACAGACCACATACTTTTAGATGAGACACGTTCAAATGATGTTCCCAATATTTTGGTGTATTGTTTTCTTGACTAAAAAATCGATTTTGGCCAAAGAAATTGGTTTGATATCTATGTCCAATGGATTGTTCTCGAGGGTAACGGTGATAGTAGCGTGACTAACATAGCTCAATTTTGCATTTTCCCCTAATTAAAGTCGTTTACTTATGATCAGAGTGTTTCAATGTAGCAAATGAACTTTTAGAAAAGTTAAAAACCTTGACGCGCAAAAATGATGATTGTCTCTGTTCTATAGTATTCATGTTTTGGTAATAAACATCATACAGCACTTTCGTATCTTACGTTAAAAGTGTTTTTGTTGATAGCCGTCAGTTTATTACCAATAGGAAATAGCTCTCAGTGTGGAACCTGAAATGTTGCTTTTCATTGATCTCAGCATGCGGTACTAAACGCGTGTAAAAATAGTGTGCGATAATTGCTTAAAGAAAACGTAATGCTCACACATATACTAGTATTTTTGGACATTGAGTTATTCTAAGACTGACGAACTAACCTTTAAATAGTTAAATCGTATTAAAATGTCAAGGTATGACTTGGTCTAGCGAATATCTCCTAATATATGAAACTATTTATTGAGTAAATTGTCCCTTTCGGCATATTACCATACACTATATAGTTAGCACTTATCTACATATGTGACTCAGTCTTTACATATCGCTTATCAATATTTTTTGGGAATACGCGTTACGAATCATGATTGTAAGTATTATTTCCTATTACATCTCGTATCGCTATGGGAATCCGCCTCAAATTCCAACATTAAAGTTTTGGTACAACTTCCAGCGAAGGCATCGGAAATGTTGACAAAGGCCCAATAGTATGCTCCGAATGAATCAATCAGATGCTACCTGGGAATTCCACCAGAGAAAGGGGTGTCAAATACCCTCAAGAGGACTTTGTGAAAGCGTCGATAAAAGCATCCCAAACTTTTGCCCAGACCCTTCAAGCGTCAACAGTACAGGTGTGCAGTGATTCCTATTGTCAAACTGTTTGTACCTTGTATGTGAAAGTGATGCATTATAGAGAATATTTACTGAAATTTTTCTACATGTTTCAAAGCTTTTGATTTTTACCGATAGTGGGTAAATAGATTTGGTGTTAGAACATCATCTCGTCGCTTCAGCTGGTGTAATGTCGATGAATCTATTGAATATTCATTCGAATTTTTATTATTCGAATCGCATATGTGATGGGAGCTGAGAGCTGCTGTACCATAAACTATATCGATTTTGTTATCATATCTTTTCATGTTAATTTCCAACCTTCGGCTGTCGGTGTATAAGCAGCTATTTAGTCTATTCGGAATGGTAACGCTAAAATGTAAATGCCAAATGTTTGTAAGAATATTTATGCGGAATGTCGTAGAAACCCGAGACACGCTATTTTTACTTCATGGGATGAATTAGAGAAAGCAAAATAGTACCAGACGATCCAGACTATATTTCGCTTCGGGAATTAATATTAATAATAATTAGGAGGTAATTCAGGATTTCTATAGCATGTTTCGATAACATTTTCTGACTTCATTACTAACTTTTCTATATATTTTCAGAAATAGAATTTGCCATCTTCCAGGACTTTACAAGATGTCCCTCCTAAAGGCTAGGCCCCAAAAGAACAAAGAAAAGCATGTCATTCCACAATCTAAATTGTCATGATCTACAGGGCGTTCCTTAATGATATGTGAATACTTAGGGGCGTGAATCTACATGTGTTTGTTTGCTTTATAAATTATGGTCCTTACAAAAACTCGGGGTGTTGAAGTTTTAGGAAAAAATTGAAATTAATTAATATCTTCAGAACCACTTCATATATTTCACTGATATTTAGTATGTAGTGAAAGTTAATAAAGTTGCATATTTATCAACGCAAAAATAATGTTTAGCTTCAACAGTGGCGTGCGTACAGGTATTGGCTTCGATATTTTTTGAGAAAAAAATGGTACGCCAATGGTTTTTTGCCAAATAAAAATTATTTTTGATTTCTCCGTTCAATTTAAAACAAATGATCTATCTTGAATTGTTTCCCTTCGATGCGCCATTTTTTGAGTAAAAAAATAAAAACCGTTCTATTGTCTAACTTGCAAAATTATTATTAATCTAATTGGAAAAATTAAACACATTAGGGGTAATGAACAACAACAACTGGCAACATAAACATGACATTAAAACCAACGAAATGATTAAAAAAATTGTTGAAAATGGCCCACTTCACTTAGTATGCATGCTTCCGCCCACCTTCTCATGGAATTGCGCACTCGTTGAAATATTGTTTTTTTTTCTATCACAAGCTGCAAATACTCTTTCTCTTAATTCCTCTACAGTGTTAATGGGACTTGTATACACTAGTGTCTTAAGATAGCCCCACAAAAAGAAATCTAAGCTGTTGAGGTCTGGGGACCTCGATGGCCATTCTTGGGGCCCTCCGCGGCCAATCCAACGATTTGTAAATAATTACGAACCGCTACACTGAAATGCGCTGGTGCACCATCATGCATGTACCACATATTTTTTCTTATTACTATCGGAACACTGGCAAGCAGCAAAGGCAACTGTTGTTGAAGAAAATTGAGATAAGTCAAGTCGTCCCGGCAAGAAGAATGGGCCAATAAAGTGGTTGCCAATAACTCCTGCCCATACGTTAACCAAAAATCTGTGTTGGAAATGGGTTTCGGTTACGGCATAGGGATTTTCTTCTGCCCATAAATGATTATTGTAGAAATTCTGAATGGCATTTCGAGCAAAATTAGCTTCATCCGTGAACAGAATCATTGGTTCAAATTGCGGATTTTGTGTAATTTTTTGAAGATGCCACTGACAAAAGGTCACACGCCTTGGAAAATCAATGGGAAATAATACCTGTACTCTTAAATTATGGTAACGATATAACAAAAAATCCACTAAAATCCTCCAAACAATTTGATGGCAAATATTTAAGTGTCTAGCGATCTTCCTCGTATTCGTTTCAGGATGTTCTTCGACTTCGTGCAGCACTGCTTCCTCAATTTCAGGTGTTCTCACACTTAGAGGTCTACCTTCAGATGTTCCTTTTCCGACAGCACCAGTTTCAGCAAGACTACGATGAATATTAGAAAAGGTTCCACTATCTGACAAAGCACGATCGAGATATCTCTGGTGATAAATCCGTCTGGCTTGCTCAACATTACCGTCGGCAAGGCCATATACGTAATGCATTTCCGCTAATTCTGCATTTGTATAATTCACCATTATTAACAAGATTGTAAAAACTAAATAATAAAAAAGATGTCACAGCGAACGGATTTGAATAACAGAGGCTTGTCAGATGTCAAAAGCCAGTGACATATTCCAGAGCAACTAGATATTTATTGCTAGATTGCATTCTTCAACTATTACATTAATTTTCTCGGACAATAGAACGGTTTTTATTTTTTTCCTCAAAAATGGTGCATCGAAGGAAAACAATTCAAGAGAGATCATTTGTTTTGAATTGAACGGGGAATTCAAAAATAATTTTTATTGGGCAAAAAACCATTGACGTACCATTTTTTCTTAAAAAATATCGAAGTCGTACGCACGACACTGTTAAACATAAAAATTATTTTTGCATTGAGAAATATGCAACTTTATTAACTTTCACTACGTACTAAATATCAGTGAAATATCCGAAGCGGTTCTGAAAATATTAATTAATTTCAATTTTTTTTCCTAAAACTTCAACACCCCGAGTTTTTGCAAGGAAACATTTTGTACCATAGTTTATAACGCAAGCTAACATTAATTTTTCATGTAGATTCACACCCCTAAATATTCGCATATCATTAAGGAACACCCTGTAAATGTATCCGTTCATTTGTGTATTGTTATCAGTATATTATGTTCGTATTCTTATTTGTTACATACACGAGAAATTCTCTTCAAAATGTTTCCTACTCATTTACCTATTGATGCTTTTGTACACCACACTATGCTAAAATTTGAAGGCGACAGGAGTGGCAACGGAGTAAAAAGTAAAGAATTGTACCCTTCATATACTTTTTTACCTTTCTAATAAGTTCTAGGAGTGGTCAAAAATTTTCTTGAAGAAGCCCTTCCAAAATGTTAAGCAAAGCTTTGAAAAATTGAACTGTCGTTTTGAGACAAATTTCTCATTTTTTATCTTTAGAAGTAATAGTAGCGGCGTCTAAAAGGCCAAATGGTTACTATTGGGTTTTGAAGATTAGATCGCAGAAGGAAAAAAGGTTGTTTCATGTATGAATACCCTTTTAGTAGTGGGGGAGATTGCCAAAAATGTAAAAAAAACAGTTTTACATAGAAATGGTCGAGCACGTCAGATATTGATATTGTATATGTCCCACGTATCACTGATATTGAAGGTATGATGTTCTGCTCGTTTGTACCGGGTGGACGCCGGTTGTGTCTCAACAATCAGTTAAGCTAGAGATATCGGTTAAAAAAATTTTGTGACAAAAGTGGCCAAGAGGAATTGCTGAAAATTAGTTCAGCTTCCTAAAGTGCTCACTAGGGGGCGTATCTCTAACCACATAACGAGAAATGCCGTTTTTTCGAAAACTTCAACTGCAATAGTATTGTTTTTCATGATTCAGAACGTGCATTAAAAATCGTACAAACTAGTGAGAATGGCAAGTCGTTATCTTCATTAGTTATATTTTTTTGCATGTTTATGACCTTCCCACTTCTTTGCGTCACACTTATATCGTCAGATTATTGAAATACACACTTTTTAGCATGTAATTTGGCTGCCTTATCTTAGTCTGATGCGCACGAGTATTTCTAACCATCGATTTTTTTTACTATTCTAAGCGGCTGACTTAGACATACCCGTACCTCCTGTATAAAGGGCTTATATATAGTGGAGGTACTTAACAGGATACAAGGTATCCCCTATTTGGCTCCACTACTATTTGAAGAAGTCGGAGTTTTAGTAGTCATTAACTCATCGCCTTATGCATTTATTACAAAAGATCACGAATCATTATAGTTATAAAAAGAAGTAAAATTGATGGAATTAAAATCAAAGTAGTGTACTTATTATTGAAGTAAAAACTATGATAATTGATAAGTAGAAAACGAATCATTAATACAATTAATAAATATTAAAACAGTATAGGTATGTACACACATACAAGTATTAGGAACAAATAATTCGGTAAGATTTTTGGTGTTCCAAAACATGCATTGATTTTGTTGGAAACCAACAATGTGACAATCTATGAATATGTCTCCACACATTAGTCAGTGTATGTCACGAAACAGTGCTTTGTTTGCATACCTATAGGCAAACCGAGCACTAATCAAGCTCAAAAGCCTCTCCTCCGCCATTTTATCACAGAAACCTGTTCCAAAACCAAGGGTACACGACCTTCAACCAACAAAGCCAATTCCCAGCCATTGTGCTTACCTAGAGCTTTATGAAGCTTCCAAAAAACGAGGAATATCGACGGCAGCCGGCGACGCGTCACTAAACTTCACTTTCCGTGCTTCACCGTCGCGTCCGTCGATACGGAATAAAGCTTGGAACCTCGAAGCACGCGGGCGTCGGGCGTTACGCGTTGCCCGACGAGCGTCGAGCGAGCTACGATCAGCTGGTCGAACAGCTGGCTTGCCCATCGTGTCGTGGACATAGACGCAGCTCAAGGGGATTAGACTGGTTTTTAACTTGTTTCTTTTGTTTTCCTAACATTCAAAACAGCAACTTAATTCGGTATAGTAAAAGAATAAATAGGAATAGCATCGGAGCGATCTTGTTTCCTGCGCACTAAAAGGCATTTGGACTTGGCTGAGATCATTGTATTCTCTATAGTTTTGATGTGTCTCAACTAGCAAATATATTTTATAATTTTCAGTGTTCCGTGCCATTTTATTTTGTAATTGCTTTATTACTATTCTTACAATGCAATTTTGCTTTAATAATTACAATTAAGCTTTTTAGAAGAAGTATCTAGCTTTACAGGAGGTCGTAAGAACAAAAATACAAAACAGTTTTACGACAAAGTTTAATACAGAACGCTTACACAACAATTATATACGTATATATATATATATATATATTGAAGCTTATTGAACAAATCTGTTTCATAATAGATTTATACTGGAATTATTCGATACCAGTTTATTCGTTTGCGAACATTAATAATATTGTTTTATTAGCGCTCTGTAGACATTAATTTATCAATTTTATCAATCTTGCCTCTCTGATATTATCGCTCGCTAAAGCATATCATGCTCAGATGGTACCTTAAAAAAATATTATATCCTTATCATTAATATTATCATAACAAAAGCGACATATAAAAATTATATAATAAAAAAATGTTTGTCAAGATACAAAAAATAAAAAAATGTCTTTACTAGTTGGCAAGTCGGTTAAATTAAGGAGAGAATGTGGATTTCAATGCTTAACCACACCCCGTTTTGAAATTGCCTAAACAAATTTAAAGACGTTCTGGAATTATCCGGACAAATGAATGGCTCATTCGTTTTAAGAATGTATTTATAAATGCTAGAAGATATTAATAAATAAAGTTTATAAATGTTTCACATAGCGCGAATAAGGTAATGTTATTGATCGTATCATACATAATAACAGCATAAGTCTACTGAGGAGCAAATTTGTTTAGTAAACTTGAATGTATAACATTTTTGTGTAAACATGTATAAGACAATATTAAAATTTGTCGAAAAGCTGTTTTGTATGTTTGCTCTAAAGACGTTCTCACGACTACCATATACAGCAAAATACTGCCTTACTGCAATCTTATTAAAACAAAATTGCGTTCTGAGAACAGCAATAAAGCAACTCTAAAATAAAATAGTACGCACACTTGAAAATTATACCAATTTGGCAATGCTGATACATTGAATTTGTAATAGTCTATATACTCGTATATAGTTTTCTATACTAACCCTTTTTTCCTGGAATACGTTTGTGTTTAACTGAAATATACAGTTAAGTTAAATATTTTATCAAAATGACTTATAAAGCAAAAACGTTTTATAAGAGCTCTCAAGGTGGTAAAAGTATTTTATAACATGGAAGTCATGTTTTATGTTATTTCAACTTCACTTTACGTCGGCCATTTTCAAAAAAAAAAATCATTTTTGATGATAAAATGATTTACCAAACGACTTTAGTGTTTATAATATGGTTCACATGAATTATTTTATTATAATGCAGTACAGAATGAGGAAACTTAGAATAGAAATTTTGTCCTTTTCTCCTAAAATTCAGTAACTAATATACTAGAGGCGCTTCAAAATTTTGCTATAAAAAGAAATTTCTTGCGCAGTAAAATATCAAACATCAGATTGCAAATCGAATTTCTGTCTGTCTGGTATTGGGTGTACGTATATATATCAGAACTAAATGCAACGTGGCTCTTGTAGTTACTCAAGCATTATGATCATTAAAAGAACAAATTACTCTCAGTGGGTGCACTTTAATAACAAAAGCAAATTTTTAGTGTTAGACATAACAAAAAAACTGTATCTGAGATAACAAAACAGCTTTGATAGAATTATTTTATTCTAGCTGTCTTATAACTGCGTCCTAAGTTTTATAATAATTTCAAAAGCGTTTAAACAATTGTCCGACAAAAGCTGAGGGAACTACAACAAAACAAATTAAAGAACAAAATTGCTGCACTAGAGTGCGCCCTTTTCAGGCTTTGTTGGAACGTTTATAGCGCCATTGTCATTTTATAAAAATACAGGGTCCGTCAGAGAGTACGCATGTTTTTTAAATGAGTAGTACAGTCAAAATAAGTATGGGAAAAATATTTTATTACATCAAAATACTCATAAATACATTTGTTTGAGTAAAACAAAATTTACGTTCTAAAAACTGTCGGCCATATGGCGCCCTTGAGCCGAAATGCAGGTATCAAGCCTCTCCCGTGTACATGGATAGGTCAATAAACAAAATTGTCGATATTGGTCTCCAGTGAATCCCCAAAAGTTGCATTAGGACCCCCTGCATACCCCGAAAGTTACAGTTTCGTGTGCAGTAGGCCCAAGGATGATTATTGGCCCTTATTTTTTTGAGGATGATGGAGAAACAACTACTGTGAGTTCAGAACGTTACATCCACATGCTGAACAACTTTTTTTCCCGGAACTTCGACGTTGACGTGTCTGTCTCCGAACAGTGTGGTTCCAACAAGACGGGGCAACATCTCACACAGATAGCGCACTTCGATGGAACTTCTTCGGCAAAAATTCCCATGACGTCTCATCTCACGTCATAGCGATATTCCATGGCCCCTCGCTCCCCGGACCTATCAACGTGTGATTCTTTTTATGGGGCTACCCGAAATCAAAAGTTTACCAGAGCAAACCTCGGACCCTCGTCGATTTGAAGCAGGAAATAAAAAGAGAAGTAACCCAAATTCCTGCACGGGATGCTGGCCGACACAATGGTCTCATTTCGGGAGAGGCTTGATTCCAGCATTTCGGTTCAAGGGCGCCACATGGCCGACATAGTTTTTAGAACGTAAATTTTGTGTTACTCAAAAAAAATGGCATGTATTTCTGAGTATTTTGATTTAATAAAAAAAAATTTCTCATACTTATTTTGACTGCACTACTCATTTAAAAAACATGCGTTCTTTCTGATGTTCTGAGTTCTGTAAACGTTATTAAGGCTTTTCTATAACGTAAATTGTTGCGGTGGCAATATTTCACCAAACCGTTCCTGGGATAGAGCTGAAATAATAACATGATTGATTCTTTGGCACACTGTGTAATATAATGCTTTGTATGATTAAAAACATTTTCTAGCCAAAGAGTAGTTTATCAAGAGAAGACAGACAAGGAGAATAAATTAGAGAGAGAAATGAGTGCTTAGTTGCATCGCGTACTGATACGGTATGTTAAAAACTAGTCAAATCGTACGTATTTTGATGATAACAGCAAACCTGGCGAGTTTTGTTGTTTTTATCCTATCATATCAACGATGATTTAATGCAGAAGAATAGAGCTCACAGGCGTATTATAAAGACATTACACGAAGCGTGTACTCTTGATATGACTAGTCTGTTCTAATCTTAGCCTCCAATAGTTGCTACCTATAAACTGCATCAGGGTCGCGGTAAAGTATGTTGATATTATTGTATAGAAAAATTACTTAAAACTTAAACTTGACCCATTTCGGCGATTGGAAGTTGGAACAAGGGTTATCGCTTTAAAGCTAAAGATACATTTTGCACATTTTACACGTTTCTCAAGATCACTCAAAGTTATTAGAAGTACGACCAAGTTCAATCTCCGGACCGGTCAATGCAGAAGACAGCAGCACATACCTATGATACTAAATTGTAGACAATTCCATGTTCTAGATTTTTACAATATGCACAAATAGCATTATGTGCAACTGAAATAAGATATTTACGAAAAACAACTTTTACGACGTTAGATTTTTAGGCCTAACTCACGATACAGACGCGAGCTTATTTATGAGACTTTAGAGTGAATAATGACGTCGAAACCAAATATCTATGAAAACGTTTAGCTCATGATTTTTATGAAAATATTGACATAAGATTTTGTCGAGGTGTTGTATTGATAGATGAGAGATGTGAGATTCACAACATACCACAAGTTTAAATTAGATGGATCAAACATTATGTGAACAAAATGATTTCATGTTCTTTTAAAGCAGTCGCCGTAAATCGGTGACAAGATCCGCCTGTTGCAGTATACGCATAAGGTAATAATATAGTTATTTTCCTAACAAGTGCGGAAAGTGATACTTTCCGCAAGAGTTACGGACTTTTTCGCTACCAACGAACAACAAGAAAAGCAACAATTATTTTTTAATATTAAATTTAATCAGCCTTCAGAATATAACAGCTTCATTTCATTTATGTTGACAATCACATATCGTAAACAATGATTAAATTTAACACCTGATGACATTTTTACTTTTCCGAACCGTGACACTTTCAAACTGAAATGCATGCGGAAAAGTACCTTTCAGCACGCTGATAGACAAGTTTCTTTTCACCCTCTGAAAATACAACCGGTACGGCATTGCTGGTGCATTCAATCCGTCATCGTACGGTGAACCAAAAGCAAGACAGGATGTTATTACATCAGCCGTGAGAAGTGCACCAGCATCCCGACTTGACCGCATACATCCCGTCCAGTGTGTATAATTTACTAAAGGATCTACGTATAAGGGCTCAGAAATTGCATACCTTATGACCGAGTGAACATCAAATCTGCCTCTAGTTCTGGTGGATTAGGTTTTGATTTAGAGTATTTAGTGGATTCATTAAAAAAATCTCCAAATCATTTAATTAATAAACAACAATACCCTATTTTTGTTATATAATGTAACAAACAAACCTCTACAAATGTGTTATATTCCGCATTTTAATTCAAGTATAAAAAGCATTATTGCACTAATCTTACTCGGTTCAAGATTCAAGATATAGCAGTCCAATAAAAGAGTGGTTAAAGAAGTGAGAAGGGCGTTAGGGACATCTGCAAAACGCATGTTAAAGAAATATTAAAGTTTGGAAGAAATGACGGACGACCCTCGTATACCTTATATAGAAACTGTTGCCAGCAGACACAATTCATTTTTAATCCTAAGATATCGTCGTTTGCCTGGCGACAAGATAACTGGCGCCAAAACTTCTGCAAATCGATACCTGCATGGAGTAAAATCTATAATTATTGTGACAGGGTTCCAAGGTAACTTGACGAATAACATGGCAATGATTGTTAAAACTTATAGAGGAAGAGAAGCTATTAAAGGGTAGGTGATAAGACGAGATAAGATTGTATTTATTGTCGAACGGGGATGAAGGACTAAATTAAAGTCGTCGAGAAATAGTCGTTTCTTTTGGGCAACACAATAAATTTTGTCTACTGTAACAATGGTAGGAAGCTTAAAAAGGCATCAAATAGGTTGACTCTGCACTTCCTACGTAACTCCATCATCTGTTCATAAAGGACTAAGTTCAGCGCAATTTGAATCGACTGGAAAGAAATCAGTTACGAACATGTACAACAGAGAGAACAGATAAACATACTAAGTTTGTCAAACAAGCCAGGGAATAGAAATTTTAAAAAATGCGCTATATCCATATACATACTATCCATACCAGATTAATGTTTTTGTAATTTGTACAATCCCACGCAAAGCTTGCTTCTGTGAGTTTTCTGTTTGTTTACCATTCTAAACTGTGTACACCTTCATATTCATTTTATAACATTATCATTATTTTTTCTAAATAAACTTTACATTCCTTGCCTGTGATATCGGTAGATACTGTCCATTTGGCAACGTTGTCCCTTTCCACATCTGCGCGGCATTGCCTAGCAACGGTGATGCAGAAGGTCGCGTAATCTATCGCGTTGCCATATGTTATACCAGAAAATGTTCGCACAGGCCTCTACAATAGGTTAGGTTACTGTCAAATTCAAGAAGGAGGTATGTTTGAAAAATTAATTTAATATTTGGTTTTCATTTTGATTAAAATTATTTGTTTCAATTTCTTTATGCGACATAGTGTTACGCAATACAAATTATCACTGCCTGCGTGTACGCAGGTGAAAGCCAGAACGAAGCAGGACGACAATCCTCAATGAGCGCTACATGGGTACGGACCAAAATCGCTCATCTATGATTATGGAGGTGGAAACCTTTCCTTGGCATGTACGAGATGCGGTGTTGCCAAGCGAGCCACTGATGCAATGTTGCAGAATTTGTGGCGATCCTGACCTTTCATTTCGACCTAAAATGGAGCGCCGTTAGGCGGATTCGACACAATTCAAAAATGTGTACGCTCAAAACAAAACCATTACTCAGGGGTAGAGAAAAAACTAACGCATATTTTCTACATGCAACCTTAATTCAAGGAACCGGTGTTACATATTGAAAATGCGGTAGTGCCGGCTTCTATCTCTTTCTATCATATGTGCCTATTATAGATACTTCTCTCTCGTACACATTGAACTCAAGCTCTCACACAAATTTGCTTGTAAGAGTATGCTCGGTTCGCCTGGGGGTAAGCTTAAGCAGGAGTACGTGGATAGAAAACATTTCTCTATCATTATAAGCTTTAGACGCAAATGTACGGGGAAATCAATGATGTGTGAAATATGACAAATAGGTTCATAGATCTACCGGGATAGGGAGCATATACATGTGCTAAGATAAAAAAATTTGCATATAACATCCCCTCTGCAACCCCCAGATTTCAACCCTACAAAAAATTTTCTGAAAATGATCAGGATCCTGTGAAGCGCAAAGAAAGAAGTTTGAGTGATTTTTCATTCTTCTTCGTTCTTGGCCTTTTTCTCTGCCACTGGACCAATATTCGGAAACTACAAAGCTTTTTTGTTCTTGGCATAGTAGTAACCTCATGTGAAAATTTGATCAAAATCTGAACGGTACCTCTCAGATTAGGGAGGGATCAAAGATTAGCGGACAGATAGATCGACGGAAATGACCGATTTAGTTTTACGTGATGAACATGTCTTACAACATCCAAAACAACATATCTGTTTTTAAAAATTTTTCAAGATTATAATACTTCCTGGTCCAGTGGTGTAGGAAGTTAAAATGAAAAAATCCTCTGACTCTTTCGGGATTATCTCATTTTATTCATCGCCATTTTGTACTGCACGTTGAATTAACCATGGATATTCAAAGGAAAATTTACCCACCTCGGTGGCCTTTTTCAAAATAAACAATTGAGTAAGCATACATTTTCCACACGTACAACAAAAGTGTCCTGGTTGAAAGTTCTTGCACCGGGTAGCATATGGATACAAGAATTTCAAAATTGACACTAGGTGTACTATAGCGTAGATGATTGCAATCGAAAGCTTGTAACAGATAGAATATTCGCTTATTCATCATCAGTTAAGGTACCGCCGCTAAGGTTGAGATTCTTCAATGACGTCAGTCGAAGACACTACTTGGTAACATGACCAATGCACCATGGATATTTTAAGAATGGAACAATTGACCCCGACCTAAACATACCTTCTGTGAAAAATAGACCATAACTCCTTATCGGCTAATTTAATGAAGTAAGAACAATGAGAAGTCTTAAGAGGCGGATTTCGCAAGTCTACAGTAGTAAATTGTGTAAGGATGTATTACAGGAGTACATGCCTTCCATGTCATCATAAATTAACTTTATAACAGATTTACAAAAAAATCCTACCTTCATGAGAAATATCGCCTAGTGTAGAAGTTATTATGTACCTAGCTTCGCTAAGCATGCTATGGTAAGTATCTAGGATAAGACGTAATGTAGTAAAAATATTAACATATTTTCGTAATCTTTATTAATACAAAGACAGACAAAGTAAAGTAAAAAACATAAACAATATATTGCGATAAAACAGCCAATAATAATAAAAGTTTTTTGCATCGTTTATTTTGCTCATTATTTCAACTGGAATGTGTTTGCATTTTTCGAGACTGACTGATATTGCTAGGTTTTCCACCAGCTTATAACAAATATTTTAAAATGATTCAGTACAGCTCCTTCTTGACGAAGTTTGGAAGAACGTATGACGCTGAATGTATCTCGTCATTGTAGTACCTAAAATACAAATTCTATTATATTGCAGTGTTTTTCAAAACAATTTGTATCGAAAATAAATTACATAGAGTGACATTACATTCGAGATAAGAAAAAATTCAAGCCAAAACACTTTACTACTCTCAGAGTTATTGGTACAGTGGTTCAAGTAGGGGAGACCGGGGCTGGTTGTCACATGGGTTGGTTGTCACAATTGTTAAATCTCCGCAGCTCCGCAAGATGTAGTTGCCTGGCGCGCTACACATCGTTTCTGCGTCCGCGCAGAACACTTGTATTCAGTACGAAAGTTGTCGTTGGTAGATTAAGGTCGCACACACAAAAATAAACAAATCGTCTAACCTGAGTGGATTTTTCATTTGCCACATAATTTGTGTTTTCAAGACTACATTTGATAATAAAAAGAACTGTTGAATTTATTTTCCTCTTCAATAATCCGAATACGACTTAACGTAATTATTGACTTTGAATCTGTTAATTTAGTGACGCTATCTAACCTTAAAAATTAATTATCTAGTGGGGCAGGTTGTCTCAAATTAGCGGGGGCCTCTTGTCACATGGAACAACCAGCCCCCACCCTAGACGATTAGCTTCGCACATCATTCTACGTAGGTATATGTATATAATGTATTTTTTTAATATTTTCAGCTGCCCTCAATAAGAAAAGCGGCAGCTGACTTCAATGTAAATTACCGTACTTTAGCAAGATACTGTAAGAAAATTCCAGAGTCTGAATTACTTGATGATCGAGTTGTTGCGCCGTCAATTTCAGTTGGCTACAACAAAAATCATTTAGTATTTGAGCCTGAACTTGAAAATCATCTAGTGGAATATGTACTCAAAGCATCTGATATTTATTTTGGATTATCATCCAAGGAAGTACGTGGACTGGCATTTGAATTTGCTAATGCTAACTCCTTGAAAATGCTGGAAAATTGGAAGCTCCATAAAATAGCTGGTCCTGACTGGTTTAGTGCGTCTCTAAAACGTCATCCTGTACTGTCTATTCGGAAACCTTAAGCAACTAGTTTAGCAAGAGCCAGTAGTTTCAACAAAACAGAGATTACAACTGTCCAAAGACCCGACGGCGTTGTTGCCAGAAGAGGATTCAAACAGGTTGGTTCGATAGTTTCATCAGAAAGAGGAACTCTTGTTACTTTAGCAAGTGCAGTGTCATCAGCTATTGGAAATTCCATACCTCCTTTTTTCATTTTTCCACGGGTACATTTCAAACCACATTTTTTAAATTCGGCTCCTCCTGGCTCACAAGGTTCTGCAAACCCATCAGGTTGGATGAAAGATTCACATTTCTTGGAGTTTCTTAGATTTTTTCACCTTCATGTGAAAAGTACTGTGGAAAGACCGTGCCTGCTTTTACTAGATAACCATGGATCACATATGAGTATAGAAGGGCTGAATTTTGCCAAAGCAAATGTTATTGTCATGCTCTCTTTTTACCCTCACTGTTCACATAAACTTCAACCTCTTGACCGCGCCGTTTTCGGCCCTTTTAAGTGATATGTAAATACTTCCTGCGATGCTTGGATTTCAAATAATCCCGGTAAGACCATGACTATATACGACATACCTTCAGTGGTCTCTATTGCATACCCCCTCGCATTTACTCCCAAAATATATACAGTCTGGATTTCGGGTGTCGGGTGTGTTTCCTTACAACAGAGATATTTTCACGGATGATGACTTTCTTGCGAGCTCTGGCCAGATCCGGGTATCATGAGCGAAGCAATAACTGGATCAAACCCGGAAACCTTAAACGAAAAGGAAGTTGGGCCAAATCCAACCATCTTGAACGAAGATGAAACTGTAAGTCTGATAAATATTAACACGCAGGAAGCAATAGATAATATACGAGAGAGCAAAACAGCTAATCAAACTAGTTTCGATGATCCCTGCTGTAGTAGTTTAGTAAGGCTGCATACGGGAAATATAGTACTTCCAGAAAGTTTAAGACCTTATCCAAAGGCATCGGCAAGAAAAATGAATCGAGTTTCCCGTCGTAAACGAGGGAGTGCAATACTCACTGACACTCCAGTAAAAGACGAATTACAGAAAGAGAAAAATAAATTCTGGAACAAGAAAAAGAGGAACAGGGAAACAGTGAAGAAAGACGTTTTTGATTCAGAAAAAAAAATGAAGAAATCCAAAAAAATTGAAAAATGCTAGTCCTGTTCAGATAATGAAACTGATGGAGAAGAATGTTTTTACTTGATTTGTCTTGAACCATTTTCTAACAGCGCGCCAAATGAAGAATGGGTGAAATGCTCATCGTGTCATGGTTGGTCTCATAATGCGTGCACTGATGGACGCGAACTTTACGTATGTCATAACTGCGATAGTGACTAATTGTAAAAAAACCATTCTACTTTTTTCTCATAAAGATTTGGTGTTTAATAAGCATTTTTTGTAATAATACATATGTTTAAAAGTATGACCAACCCCAAGCAATGTGACATCCAACCCCAGCAAGGGGCAAGTTGTCACATTTGTTTCTGTATTTTGAAATATTTTAATTTAATATTGTGAATTATTTTACAGCCTTATCGATTTTACATAGTGTTCCCAAAGGATAAAGCATATTAGTTATGCACCAAATATGTGCATATAACGCTTCAGATTGAATAAAAAAAAGAATTACTGAAAATTATGACAACTAGCCCCGGTCTCCCCCACCAAAAAACCTAACCAGCTGAACAATTTTTTTTTTCTCGTTTGATCTCAGATCTTATTCACAGGGGATATGTAATTTAGTTTTTGATAACAGCAGTTCCATTTAGATGGCTTCTTGATCTTGAAAAGATCGATACCTAATTCGTCATCAGCGATCTCAAAAACATACAAAACTCGAATTTGAGCATAATCCAAACATTTTTTTTTTATACTGGATCCGCCATTTATATTTTTGACAAATGAATTTCATATTCGTTATAAGCGACACCGAAAAAGTGTAATTGAAGTTTTTTTTGGTGAAACTGAGTGCATGTTTCTAGTATTAGACATGTTTTGTGACTTTGAACCGCTGCGCGAGGGCTGCAGATGAAAAAGAACTATTGGAGGAGGTGATACTGCACTTCCGCGAATATGTTTAAAAACCTTATAAGTATGCTTTCGGCATACATTGTTCACAATTTACCTGAGATTATGTTCTGTAATTTGTTCCTCTGTGAATTTAAAAGAAGGCTTAGTGAGATCTAAAGATGCATCAAGTGAGGCTACCAAATATCCAATTTGTCCATCTGGGTAGCTAGGAACACTGGACGTGGCATACCTGTATTGGAAGAGATTTTGACATAATATAATGGTCTATCTAGAATCCAAGCCGTTGTTGAATGTATGTAAAAGATTTGCAGCTGCCAATGTACAGGGTGAGTTTTTATTACTTATCTATTTATTATGAAAGGTATCTTCAAAGATTATTTACAAAATTTATATATTTATATATACAGGGTGACTCGAAATTTGAGGTTAATCCTGCAATTGTAGATAGGCCACGTCATGGTCTACAGGATGGTAAAATTTTGTATTACTAAAAGTCTCATAGTTATCGAGATTTTCAGCATCTAATTTTTAAAAGAACTGGCTTACATTCAGTTAATCTCTTGGCATTTTTATAAATATCGACTTTTTGGACCAGGTTTGTTTTAGAACACTCAGAATTAAGCATTTGATCTAGTCCGGTATTATTTTTCCCAAGGTGGCGAAAACCTCCCATAAAAGTCATTCCAAAGTCTGAATTTGTAGTAAACCACTTCTCACGTCTCATTTTGACAAACATAGAATATATAACAAATTCTTGTAAATACAGGAGGAGCAATTAATATCATTTAATATTCCTGCTCAACTGATTGAACCTACATTTTAGCAAACTATCTAATATTAAAAAGTTGAAATTTGATACAGTTATTATTAATGAGTATTTTTACACATTAGTTGATTAACTTAATGACAAGACTATAAGACTAGAGTACTTGTCATTAAGAATCAAACGAGGCCCTATTCGATGGGTTTCCTTGGCGACTTCCTGTCGCCATAATTAGATCTTCTCTTGTCATAAGACATTGCATTGTCGATTTTAATATTAAGAGACCGCCATATTGGATTAGAATAACGTCACTTTGCTTATTGTGTTTCTTTCATCAATCATTTGTTATCCATAATATGGGGGTGACTATGGAAATTATAAATCGATATTTTGCGGATGCCGCCATATTGGATCTAGGATGTCGTCACGTTGCTTACTGTCTCTCTCTTGAAGCCCTTCCAGTGGATTACCATATCATAGGGGTAACTATAGAAATTATGAACGCCATCTTGCGGCGGTCAAAATATTTGATTTGAAATGATGACACTCTGCTTATTGTGTTTCTCTCACGTCCTTTCATCTGATGCCCATATTATAAATCGCCAAATTGCGGCCTCCGTCAACCTGGATTTAGAATGTTTTGTTGCATTTCTCTCGCCAAGTTCATTCATTTGATGCCCATATAATATACCATATTAAATTCAGAGTTCCGACAGTTAATTCATTGAGTATTGTCACACGAACCAGACAGGCATACAAAATTTCAACTCAATTGGTTCAAAATTAAGTTTCAAGATTTGTCCCACACATGCATACTAACGAATCAACAGTTACATGTACAAAGCAATTTATATTGAAATCCCAGCTCAAATTAAACCAAAAGAAAATGAGAATGGTTCAGGGTAAACTCGCTTTTTCCGTCTCTCCCTCCGAAAATACTCTGAATTACCAAACTATCTGAGTAACATTTTATTACCTAAACGCGCAACTTTGCCTTCGTAAACGAGTTAGAATTATATGGCTGAGAGTTTCCGAATTTGAAATACCCAGTGCATATATATATATATATATATATATATATAGGTGAAAAATTAAAGCTTCCGCCTTTTGTTGGGTACTTCGACAAAATTTAAGCAAAGAGGACTCTTTATACTTTTTTTAATTCTCTCTAGCTTTCAATGGACTTTGCCATCATCATCAGGAGCTGCAATTACAATGATAACAGTAGCAACAAAAGTGTAAAATGAATTTAAATTGACTCAACTTACAGTAGTATGTGAGGATGTTGCTAATTGTTGTTTACGTATAGGATGAGGGAAACGTCCAGTAACATGGTGAGAGCTGGGTAGATTGTACAATGGTCAAAATTATATAAAATATGACAAAAACAAGTTAAAAACAGATTAAAAATTATTTAAAAAACATTAGAGCATTACATCGTGAAGCCACTTGATGATTGCACAAATTAGTGGTCATGGAATAATGAGTGAGATGAAACCCTTTGACAGAAGGCCGAAGGATGTCAATGTCTGTGTTGAAAGATGGAACGAATTGTGGGCGTGTGCCAAACGTTGCCAAATCACTTCAGATGATGTGATTTTCAGAATTTTATGTAAGAATTTGTTAAACCGACCAGAGGCAGTTGAATAAACTATATTTTAATTAATGGGAATTTAAATTAACAGTTATTAATAAATCGTGAGAAAAGAATTATTATATTTTGAGTGGAATGAGATTTACTGGTGGAATTGGCCAAAACACAGATTCTAATTATGGTTGTGAAGAGTCGAAATTTGGGGAGATATGTAAGTTCTCCAGAACACGCCCACAATTCGTTCCATCTTTCAACACAGACATTGACATCCTTCGGCCTTCTGTCAAAGGGTTTCATCTCACTCATTATTCCATGACCACTAATTTGTGCAATCATCAAGTGGCTTCACGATGTAAAGACAGATTAAAAATTATTTAGAAAACATTAGAGCATTACGTCGTGAAGCCACTTGATGATTGCACAAAATGGTGGTCATGGAATAATCAGTGAGATGAACCTTTGACAGAATGCCGAAGGTTGTCAATGTCTGTGTTAAAAGATGGAACGAATTGTGGGCGTGTGCCAAAACGTTGCCAAATCACTTCAGATGATGTGATTTTCAGAATGTTATGTAAGAAATTGTTAAACCGACCAGAGGCAGTTGAATAAACTATATTTTAATTGATTTACAAACACACTGGAAAAATTATAAAACTGAAACGGCGATTAGATGACAAAAAGCTCTGAGATATTAAGCTCATTCTAACGAGAAGGTCTGCAGCAATAAATGACTTGAAGCTGTCAAAGTTGATAAGATACATTTTTTCCTTCAACCAGGCCTTTCTCAAAATACAAAAAATTATAGAGTATTCCGTTTATAAAAATGCATGTTTGTGTTATCACGTAGTTCTGAATCACCCTGTAGAGCAGTGGACCGATTGCACACTAAAAACTTACCCTGTTTATATTACTCTCCTTACTAGGACCAAAACTGTTCAAACAGCTATTCCGGGGCAGTCGATTTACAAAAAGAGGAAGACATAGGGAGTGGATTCAACCGGGTGTAACTTTGTACCTGCTCTTTATATTAAAATACAGTCAGGAAGACACAACTACATAGAAAAATAGTACTTTTTCGTCAAGTTTCCTGCTTTTTACTAAAAAATGTACATCAGTCCATCAAACACGAGCTGCATAGTCACAAAAATGTATTGGATAGTTGATGAACTATCTTTGACCAACAGTATGGAATCTTTGAAAATTATTCGTTGAGTGCGAGTCCAGAAGACTCCAAATAATTGTTGTATAGCCAACATTTTTTGACGAGGCCTCGAAAATGTTTAAGGACAAGTAACAGCTCATCCTTATCCTATTCCTGACGCGAATGAGAAGCAGAAGAACAAGACAGACTGACATCTCCTGGGGACATGAAAGTTAGGTCGGACTGTGTTCCGGAGATAAAATAAAAAAAAAATCTGTTACTTTAATTTGAATTCAGTGACCGGGCTTTAGCAGTAATATATCGAATAAAGACGCCTGTATTAGGTATGGGCTGAGAGTCCATTTTTCTATTTTATTCTTTCTGTTCCTGTCACGTGTCTGCAGGGATTTGCTTTTGATAATGCGATAAGCACGCAAGTACTTGTCTATTGATCAAATACAAGTTGCAGTTATCAAAGCATGTGGGACGTTAGCAATTTCCAATTTAAGTTGTACACCACACTAATCCTCGTACTATAATATACAGCTCTAAAGACATTGAACGATATAATAAGAAACTGAAGGATATACATATTTTATTTATTTTCATGCACGTTTTGAGGTAGAGGAAAGTCGCGTAACATTGGACAGTTGCCTAATCTGGGATACTGCATCATCTCAAAACCTATTGACAGGTTGCTGTAATTGAGTGCACTAAACTAAAGTTTTCTAAGATAAAATAATCTTGTTTAAACCATATAATTCAGTTATGCACTACAAGATAACACCATATGATTTCATGATTATTTGCGACGCAGAGTTTTTCGTTTCTCCGGCTAAAAATTGTTACAAAAAGGTAGGTATTTAATTGAAATTGGCATTAATGTACTAGAATATTTTTAGAATGAGAAGTGTCTGAATCGAACATTCCTATCAAAGTTTTCTTGTTTTAATCACACAACCTTGAATATGAATGTTGCCTAATTTTGGATAAGCAAAATGTCTTAAAACTGGATGTCAAAAATTAGTTTCAAAAATGTGTTTCAAAATATAATTACCTACACATTTTTTCCAGTAAAATGCATAAGAAAGGACTCCCACATAAAAATGGAATCCAGAAAATATGCAAAAGACATAGAGGCAGTTAAAGTAATGGAATGAGATATTTAAAAGCATCCTTCGGCGTTCCAAAGACGATACTATATGTCAAACGTGGCAAGTCCTTGGAAGAGCAATGAACTCTACGAATGGGTCGAAAACCAGCTTTATCAACTGAAATGGAAGAAGTCTTGGTGCAGTACTGTAAGATATTATGGTCTAAGACTTGTAGACATTCGCTGACTGGCATACCGGCTTGCTATAAGAAATAACATTTCCTACCCCTCCTCAGAAAGAGACGGTAATGCCGGTAAAAAATGGCTCCGAAGTTTTTTGAGACGCCATGCCAATCTATCTTTGAGAAAACCACAGGGGATTTAAAAAAATAGAGCAAAAGGTTTTACCCCTCAAAATATCAACAGTTTATTTGAAATCCTGAAACCGGCTATGGAGAAGATTCATTTTAACCCACTGGGCGGTTATAATGTTGACGAAACTAGCATCACCACAGTACACAATCCAAGATTGCTAGAGTTATCACCCTTAAAAGAAAAAAAGAAGAAAAAACTAAAAAGAAGACGAAACTGAATGCTCTGACTCCTCAGAAGATGTTCCTTATGAAGACGACTCAGACATGGATCGATCACGAGAGTGACGCAGAGTGTATTTCCTGTACTGCACGTTATTCAGAGGACCAAAATGGATAAAACTGGGTACATTTCTCAATTTGCTCCAGATAGTCTCATGAAGACTAAGCTGGTAGTGACAAAATAAAGCTTACATGTGCGATTTTTGTTTAGAAAAATAGGTTCTTTCAATTCAATTCAATTTTGAGGACCGTTTTGTTTTATTTGAAAGAGTGTCATTTTTTACTTGTGCCTAATATTTATGCCGTTTATGGGTAAAATAAATGTTTTAGTATGCATCACGTCCGTTTATTTAAGTAATGGCATATTTTCAGCTCAAACAAGCAATTACAAAAGTTGTTTTTCGTCTCAGAAAATTGAATCAAGGAAAAGCATCCAAAGTTAGGCCACTTGCCTCTATTCCACGTAAGGCAAATCTAATATAATTTAACTCAAAAACACATGACTGACAGCGCTAAATAATAAATTAAAAGTAAGCGTGTAGCTTTGGAATAGGGAATAGTGTAGTGTTAGTCACCAGTGAAAGGCGAAGCGATCAATGAGTTAAGCAGATCGACTTACCTGACATTTGGAAAATGTTTCCGGCAATTATTCATTGTTTGTTTAATCTGGGGTAGATCTGTCCACACCGTGCCCATCTGAGAAGAGACTATTCCTGTAAACAACAAAGTACTCCACCTATAGGTACTCTACGAAAGGTACGTCAATATTTGACAATGTATTTCAGATAGAGAATAGGGATAGAACATGCAATGTTCTTATAACAGTTTATGTTATGGATCGAAGATACGTAAATGTTGCAGCTAAAGCCAATGACAAGTCAGATTGCAGTGTCTTTGAAGATTTTGTCAAAGTCCAAAATAGATGGATGTGGACAAACCTTGACAATCAGTTCTGGAATCGGCATCCGTGGCTTTAATATTATTAATAAGCTAAGGCACGCTGGATAAGCTCAGGTAGCCAAAGCTAGTTTCGATTAAATGTTTTGATGTCAAAAGAAATGACACATACCATCCCATGAAAATCAAAGTTCATCTCCGTATTGAACTTTGGTCAGGCTCCCAGATCTCAACTAAGAATTATCACTCCTATTCGAGTTGCAAGAATGATTATACAGTATTCCTTACGCAGCATTGTATACTGTAAGAACATTGGCAAAACCCTCTTAGAACAGCTATACAAGCGGAATGGGCACACCTAATAGGACACTTCAGTCATTTAAGAGGTTGTACAAGGGCTGCAGGTAACAGTTATACAACAGAAGTGTAAGCCTCTTGCAGCCGCTATAGGACATTTGCGTCAATGCAAGATTCAGTTTTTGTCAACTATACAACTATTCTGTTACGCGATTTTACTTTATTGCAAACCAAACTATTTCTTATGTATTGTATAGGCGAAGTGAAGAATATATAACTAACACATTACATTCATCTTGTTTACTTATATATCGGCCATTGTGAATTTCATACACAGGTATATGATAAACGTCTACACTGTGATATAGGGCTATTGAATTACTTGCGCAGCAAATTTTATTGTGATTATCGTGCAAAGTAGTTACGCAATTTCTACGAGCTTCGTATTTGATTCATATTTTAATAATGATATAAAGTATGTCTAGATTTTTAAGATGGAAAACTGAACTTATCTAATATTCTAATATATCCTATATTTAGACACAATTACACTAATGTTTATCACTTTATATCTGTAATTTCGGACTGAAACATAATTATTTAATATTAAATAGAGGAATAAATGTTTGCCCAATATGGCGGGTGGTTGTGTATAATCATGGCATCGTCCATGTTGTATTTAGTTTATTAGAATATTTTGGTGTTGCCTGCAGGTGTTATACAACAATTTGACAAATGTCTGAAATGAAATACCGACAAAGTCGAATGATTTACCCAGAATTTGTACCAGATCTATATCTTCTGTTTGAACAGTTGATAAAACCTTTTGAACCAATATGCATGCGTTGTTTGTCTTAAAACATTGGTTATGGCATTTTAACAAAAATATGACAGCAGAAAGTGAGGTTATGGTGAAGTTGTATACCAACATATTTAGCAACAAATGTATGCCGAGCACAGCAATTTTGTACTACAAAAGTTGTAATATTGTTGCATATGTACAGCCTTTAACAGTTACTAAACAACAGTTGCTTAAGTGCTTCCGTTGGGAGCAATTTATTGACTAAAGTAGTAAATTTGCACGGCAAAACAACAAAGGCTCGGGTTTGTTGTATAAACGTTACCATGGATGCCACAACACAACTATTTTCACTACCGCGCAAATATGCCGTATAAAATAGTTGTATAAACGTTTATGCAACCGTTCAAAATTTGTCCTAAAAGGTGTAGTATAACTATGCGATAAGAATATTTTAAACGCCTCATATTAGAGCAAATATGATGGAGAAAGCAAATTTGCATTCCACACAACATTAAGCGAGCATGTTGGTGTTCAGGCAACAACAATAGAGATCTTTTATGGCTGAACGGTTCTTTTAAAAAAAGCTTATAGCACTACTTTGCTAGTTGGGATTTGACAAAGGTACAAATTACTTACCATTCGACCTTAACGCCTGTTTAAGCAATTTGTAATAAGACTCAGTAAACAAGTTAACTGCCGGTCCTATTGGATCTGAGGAATCTGTTATGATGACATCAAACTCGCTTATGTGCTGCTTCATGTATTCGAAGCCATCACCAATGTGAAGGGATAGTTTTGATGAATTGAAGCCTTTTGCCATAAATGGGAGAAATTTTTTGCTGCTTTCCACCACTCTGTCGTCGATTTCAACCTGAAAAACAAAATCTAGGTCACACACAGGTACAATTTAGGCAAGTTTGTTAAAGTAGCCATGGATTACACCGCAGCGATGGTATCTTGTGCTATTATTTGCTCAATATTATTTCTGACACCACCTGTTTGAAAAAGCCTTTGAACAAAAGAAAGAAGCTCAGTGTGCGCACTCTGCAAAAGATCCAGATAAGATTCAGCCTCAGGCCACTATCACACGGAAGGGCGGTCTACGACCCTGCTCGCTTGTCTAACAATATGACCTTGAGGCCGCCTAGTTTCTATCAGACTACCTGCCATTGCAAATGTAATCGGGGGAGTCTTTGACATTTGGAAACCCCTTACAATTTATTAAACAATGACAAGGAACGAGAGCAATAGCATTTTAATACAGGCTCGCATAAAAGAGTAAGGTATAACAAATGATTGTCTCGGAGGTATCTAATTCTACCTCTAAAGAAGGATGGTGGAAAGTAAAAGTACAACAAACTTTAGATATTATACAGGGTCCGGCAGAAAGAACGCATGATTTTCGAATTGGTACTACATCGAGTGAGCTGGTCCCGTGTCAGTGGGTAAGGGCGTGTTGGATAGTGGCAGAAGTGCCGTTTCAGTTGGCAAGATGATTTGGAACGTTGAGCATCTTGTGTTCACTGTACGTCGGTACTTTCAAAATGGCCAGACTGTCGTCCGAACGAAAGGTGAGCTTCGCGTTCACTTTCGTGTTCCACGTCGTGGGACAGTACCAGACCGTAACACCATTTTGAGATAGGTGGAAGCATTCAACACAACAGGTAAGTTCCCTTCTGTACATCGCATCTTGAAGAAGAATTCAGTGTTCCATTCTTACAAAATCCAAGTTTGTCAACAACTGTTGCACAACGTGCTAATTTCGCATAGATCATGATTGAACAGTTGGATAACAATCACATGACGTTGTTTATGAGTGATGAAGCACCCCGAAGGTTACAGTTTGGTGTGCAGTAGGCCCAACGATGATTATTGGCCTTTATTTTTTTGAAGATGATGGAGAAACAACTACTGTGAATTCAGAGCGTTACATCCACATGCTGAACAACTTTTTTTCCGGAACTTCGACGTCCACGTGTCCGTCTCAGAACAGAGTGGTTCCAACAAGTCAGGGCAACATCTCGCACAGCCCGCACTTCGATGGAACTGTTTCGGCCAAAATTCCCAGGACGTCTCATTTCACGTCATGGAGATATTACATGGCCCCCTCGCTCCCCCGACCTGTCAATGTGTGATTTTTTTTATGGGGCTACCTGAAATCAAAAGTTTACCAAAGCAAGCCTCGTACCCTCGTCGATTTGAAGGAAGAAATGAGAAGAGAAGTAACTAAAATTCCTGCACGGATGCTAGCCGACGCATGTATTTCTGAGTATTTTGATATAATAAAATATTTTTCCCATACTTATTTTGACTGTTTTACTCATTTAAAAAACATGCGTTCTTTCTGACGGACCTTGGTATTTAGTATCAAAAGTGAAAATGCTTACGGAAAAGTGAATTATTCTTACATGTTAAATTGACTGAACATCGCATCAACCACCATGAAATAAGCACACATAAGATAATAAAATTAATCATTATAGCCAACAAAGGGGCATTTTACCCTCGAGACATAAGCTCAATATCAAACTAAGAATCCGGACAAATATAAATATCTGGGATGTGTTGATTTTATCGCCATCGGTGGAAAAAAAAGATAATTCTAACATAAATTAGAACATTAAGTCGCATCAGAATTGAAATAGATAATGCTAATCAAAGTGAAAACAAAATATTAAATTTAATGTTCGAACAGACCCCCTTCTTGGGTTTGACAGTAACCTAACCTATTGTAGAAGCCTGTGCGAACATGTTCTGGTGTAACATATTGGCAACGCGGCAGACTCCATGACCTTCTGTGTCACCGTTGCTAGGCAATGTGGTGATGACCTTCGCTCTTCAGCCTTCTCCTTCTAACATGTATTGATATACACTCTCGCGCTCCTCTCATACGCATTGAACTCAAGCCATTAGAAATATTTGGTTTTCCCTATATACGTGAAATGGCGCAAGAGCTTTGGTGGGATAATGAAAGTACATATTAATTCAGGATTTTTTAAAGCGTTTTGTGGTGTTATCGGTTGTTTTTCTGCCTAATAAAGATCATGTTACCCAGCGAGCTGCATCGCGGGCTTCGTATATCTAGGAAATAAAAGGATTCGTAAACTAGATTGTGGGGGTATGTCTAACAGTTCAAACGCACATGTTCGTGTGATTTATGGCATGAAAAGCCGTGTGGCCATAGCCATTTCTGAATTGATTATTTGCATAAACGAATCCTTTGTCTTCAATTTCCACCCCTTCGTTCCTAGCGAATAAAGAACAAGGGATCATCTGCCAGGAAAAGCTTCTCTAAGCCAAGGTGGTTTGTTGTCATTCCAGCACTTTGCGCGCACTACTACCACGTCTTGGCCTCAAGTTAAAGTAAAAACAATTGGACGGTGCGGGAATTGTCACGTTTTCCAGGTGCGTGAAATGTACCGAACAAGTCTACTCAAGGTTGCTTTTGAGGTTAGCACACGGCGGCATAGTTTTTTGAGCTGCCATTTATAACTGCTGGAGCAAATGCGAAAGCACGTTAAAATAAACAAAATTCAGTGAGAGTCTCTTGTAGGCATAAAACATGCCGACATCATTAGCACATAATTTTGTATAAATTGACCAGACTCTCCGCCTCCGTCTACGAGAGAGGTGGGGAGGGTGCCGTTTGTTTCGTGAGATGCTAGCATTATTTTACCAGTTGTCGTTATGGAGCCTTGTATGGTGGAGCACCGCGTTTTCGCCTATGATTGTTTCGTCCGAAATAATGAGTCAGTCATCGTCGTACAGCGTGAGTTTCGTCGCCACTTCAACATTCATCGGAATAGAGCTGTTCCCTCTCGAAACACCATCCTTCGTTGGGTTGAATCACTCCACAGGCGTGGTGAACTGATCAACAGAAGACCAAGAGGAACGCCGCGAACAGTTCGAACTCCTGAAAATGTTGAACGCGTTCGACAGGTCTTTCTTCGCAGTCCGACTCGATCTGCCCAGAAAGATGCTGCTGCACTTCGCCTAAGTGATCTTTCGGAAGGCGAATTTTGCATATGGATCTCCGCTTTCACCCCTACAAATTGGCCATTGTGCAACAGTTACAGCCCGGTGATTATGCACAACGAATGAACTTCGCACGTGAGATGGAAGCACTGATCGATCAAAATGAGAACCTCATTTTGTTTATGAGTGACGAAGCCCACTTTCACCTTAACAGCATGGTTAAACAGCAGAATTGTCGCTATTGGGCTAATGAAAATCCGCAACAGTTACACGAAAGGCCGCTGCACAGCCCAAAAGTAACGGTTTGGTGCGCTGAATCGCAAACTTGCATCATTGGCCTTTACTTCTTCGAAGACGGTAATGGTCGTGCTGTTACGGTGAACTCAGAGCGCTACGTCGACATGATCACCAACTTCTTTCTTCCTGAATTACGACGGCGACGTGTTCCAATCCGACGTGTGTGGTTCCAGCAGGATGGGGCGACCGCAGACACAGCCCGAGCATCCATGGACGTTATTCGCCCTCTCTTCCCTGGTCGCCTTATTTCCAGGTTTGGCGATGTTCATTGGCCTCCTCGGTCCCCAGATTTATCCATATGCGATTTTTTCTTATGGGGTCACCTCAAGGCTACAGTATACGTGAACAAGCCCCGAACTCTGGACGGATTGAAGGGCGAAATTCGCGAGGAAGTCGCCCAAGTTGAGAGAGCGATGTTGGAGAGAGTCTACGCGAACTTCCAAGGACGGCTCCAGCACTGCATCAACGATTTCGGCGACCACATGCCTGATGTGATTTTCCACACTTGACTGTCTCAAATGCTATTTCCTTGTGAACCTGATTCCGTCAATAAATTTGTTTTCGAGTAAAAATTAACTATTTTATGATTTTTTTAAAACCGTCCATCCTCTCTGCCGCATCCTGTATTTGTATCGATAATGTACTACTCTCTTTCATTGTGGTATCCAAAATATACAATATTCCAGGGCGGGTCTTACCTCTGCTTCCACTCTCTCTAACAGCTCTTGCAGTTGACAAGACCTGTTCGTGCCAAATGATAAGCAGTCATATAATTTCCCACCCAGCAATCAATTCTCAGTGCCTTGTGGCTTATATGATTCTAATTTCGGATACATTACCTGTACACATCGTTTGACAAGTGGATGTTTCTCCACTTCCCTAGCAACTCCTCCATCTCCTCCTCCAACAATCAACACATTCTCTGGATTTGGATGGGCGCACAGGGGCAAGAATGTGATCATCTCCTGGTAAGAAAACTCATCTTTCTGGGTACACTGAATTATGCCGTCCAATGCTAAAACTGTTCCATTGTTTTTCCTAAAAAATATATCTCGTTGTTAAACTACGAATGAGCAAATCAGATCATAAAGGTCCAGTCGAGTTTCCTTTTAACACGTTCACGGCATAGGTATTATTGCAGCGGTAGTTCTCAATTTGCTCATATATCAGCTGGTTTTCTAATAGGTTGTTAGAACCATGTATATGACTGAATCTAGTTTTACAGTGCAAGCAGAATTCTTTGGAGAAAACCTTCAAGTCGATTTCCTTCATAATAGCACTTGTTGGATGCCCCGTTAACACGAATCAAGAGACTGGCGATCGGTAGCCCGGTGCAAACTTGTTTAATCAAATTTTTAAACAAATTTAAAAATTGTTTCTCAACTCCATAAAAAGCTTTTTCTTGATCATTCAGAAAAAAGATGTTTAGTATTTTTTCAAAAGTTGACCGTTTTCTTAAACTGAGTGTCAAATACTCTTCGGTGTCTCATAACAATTTTTAATCAAGTTTATAGTAATTGAAAATGGCCTTTCTACGATTCTCCGCTTAGAATTCAAAAACGGTCGTCTTACTATGGACCTTTTTCGTTCAAAATAATAAAAAAAAAAGAAAATAACTAACTCATGCTCTAGGACGCTAGTAGAAAGAGAAACACAAGAAGGTATCATCAATAGAAGAACGGGTCAAGAAGGGTCCCGCAGGGTTATTATGTAAAAAACCTATATAATGTCAAAAAAAAACGACAAAAAATCAACTTGCTGACTGGGCAGCTCCTAGTGTGCGACTAGCTCATTCCGCTATTGCTCGCTATGAGCCCTGTGAGCGTCACCAGAAGCGTCATCTTTAGAGGAATGACTCAACGTCACGCTAGATGACCCGCTGCAAGACAGTTCCCCATCACGCTTTGTTGGTTGCAGAATGCCGAGATAGTCTGGAAAGTATATCTCTGAGAATATGTGACAGAAAGAAGATTGGGTGAGTAGCAGAGTAACAAATGTCACCTGGACGATTGTATGTATTGGTCTGCATGTAAATAAAATCCGTGATATTTGCTATTTTAGAAAATTATTACTGAATATGCTGTATCAGACGGCTTACTTGTGTTACTTTCTGAAGCAAGGTTATGTTCAAAGTTATAAATTACTATTTTTGACGTTTTTTGTGTTTTCAAAAACTTTGAGAATTAATCACCACCGTGCCCGCGTTGCGTGACATTGAGGCAACACGTACAGCTTCAGAACGATTGCACATTAAGTAAACAACAACTAGTTCTAAGTTGAAATCTTGTAGAAAAACCTACATAATGTCACTTTTCAAGATACGTAATACCCCTGCCGGAGTCTACTTATAATCCTTTAAACTGAAGGCATTTTAGATAAAATCGGAAGAACGAGACAATAGTGTCGAATACAAACAAGGCTCTCCAGAAATACCACGCTCCGCAGTATCTTGACAAAAAATAAGTCCCAAGTGTAAATAGTACGTTATTACTTACATTAGTAACTATGCTGTAACGTCTTCGTAAACTAGAACTTTGAGATACCTTTGTGACACCCTTGTGCTTAACACTTGCTGTCGTCTGGAAGGTTGGGCGAGGTCCGAGAATCATCGAGACCTATCAAGGAGTATCTACCGCCATCTAGACGGATGCTCGATGTCGATCGAGAATAAGCGAGAGCGTGCGTCTAGACCACATCTACAGAGAACCAATTTAATACACGCAAAGATGACAATCAGATAGTCAAAAGACAGTGTCCAATGAATCAACAAGTCCAGTCGACATGGTTATAAATTTCTCATAAATTGCATGTGTTCTGTGTTGAGATAAATTAGTGAAAGAGTAACAGATTAAGTTTTAAACAGTAAAAACGATGTTTTCGTTACAATATGGTGGACATTTTGCAGTACATGACACCCTGGGCTAATTTATACCAAAGTCCTTTCCATTAGAAACGGATTGACGTTGATATGGAATGAAACCTGTGCGGACCTAAGCTGTGCGTGAGCTAATAACAAAACCTTTTTTTATTTAAACTTCAATACCATTTTGTATGGATTACGGCATTGATCAACTGTCCACCACGGCTTCGCACAGTGGCAATAAATCTCTATAGAGAGATCGAAAGTGGTCGGATGAGTGTTTCCCCTGATATTTGAAGCTCTGAATATTTACTCTTGTAAGGTACAATATCGGCAGCAGTGCAGTGCAATCAGTTGTTCTTATTCAAGAAAGGCAGACTGCTTCACTTATCTTCTAGAGAAATAATGGTCACTACATCATAGCATTAACGTATCCTATCGAATATGAAACAAGATACCAATGGTGTCAGCTATGAGATTTTGTAACAGTTACGTTTTTCCTCTCCGCAATAATTAGAAATCTACTTTGAAAAGGTTAGTGTCTCATAGATGGCATTGTAGCCAACTATATGTTCATATAGGCCTATATAATTAAGTATAGCGCCATCTATAAGACACTAACCTTTCAAATTAGAGTTGTAATTATTGTTGAGAGAAGAAACATAGCTGAGACAAATTTCGGATAATTCTTGGGACACTGGAATATGGTATTAGGTTAGCTATCTTCAAAAAGAATGAGTTAATTGATGATTATAGTAGGTAAATATCTACCAATACGTTGAACATATGACATTGTATTATCAATTATTTAATACGTCAACTGTTTCTAATCGGCAATGCCAGACTAATGATAACAGAAGGCTTGAATATTTGTTTTACGATATCATTTCTTGGACGTGACACATTTCAACACAGCACAGATAACCAGACTTAAAATTATGATAAAACAAATTATCTTTGGATGAAAAACGTATTCTTAAACATGAAGCGTAAAATGCGAGAATTAAGTGTCAGTTCCAATAATGTTTCAAATTTTGTCCCACCAACTCTGACTATCTGTAATTTGGTTAAAAGAATTCAATATATCAGCATATAGGTCTCAGAAATTACATTATATATGGCGCTTTTGAAAATTGCTACTCATCTTATTAATGCCTCATAAGGCTCTTACCTAAGAGGTAAGGTAACCCAGTAGATATGCAGACATTACAAAAATAGTGTATTTTTATTTAAGTAAAATAACAAACAGATACAAAATGAGGTATACTTTTAGCGCAGTCTAGCCACAGGCTATCCTACTTAACCACCATCGAGTTCACACTAGCAAAACTACAAAAAAATATATTTTTTCCGGGGAGCTGGTATATGATAAATGTAATATGATCAATAAGCTGAATTCAAATTAATCCGCTTCTTTCGAAAAGTGTAGAAATGAATCTAAAAGATCCATTAAGTAGAGCTCTGTTGTAAGCATACAATAAAAATTCAAACAAAAGTGGTAAATGAACAAAATAGTTACAATTTATCAAGATCAGCCTTACACTTAGCATTCACTTGTTTCCCATCTTTAATCACATAAACACGAGGCTGAGTTTCAACCTGTGATAACATCTCGCAATGGTCTACCGGAAGGGATTTCAGAAGTTGTATGACGGCATCACTCAGTTTTTCCTGCGTCTTATTTTTCACTAGAAAAATCAGTAGATTTTTTATTCTAGATGTTTGCTCACAGTCATCATACTTCTGAGAAAGACAGTCTGACAGCATTTTTGATTCCATCGCGAATACACATTGTAATGACTAACAAAATTAAATCAGGAGTATTTCTTCAGGTAATACATGCTCCATAAAAATGTTTTATTACTCTTTTACAGTATAAAGCAGGAGCTCGTATTAACACTAGATTTCATTGGTCTTCATTACAAACTTACGGATTTATAAATAAGACTCATTATTATAGTAACTTTATTACTGCAGCTACTATGATTACACGGCGACCAAAAAGTATTACAGATATGAGTGCCCATGAGTTTCTGATCATGTGTGTGTGTGTGTCACTTTTTGGGATCGACACATATTCAAAAAATAAATCCGATCACCTACAAAATTGGACAACTTTGATCTATATTCTCTTACTGCACCACGTCCTTTTGTCTTTCTTAAATAACCACTGGAAGAAAGTTCATTCTCCCTTCTGGTTAAACGTTTCTATAATCATTTGAAAAAGTGCCTTATTCCTTTCACATTTTACGTGTTGCACTTAAAAATTTATTGAAACCTGGTACCAACTCCATTCGTACCTCACACTCAACAGTAATGCCAAAGATTAATCATTCCAACTTACGATTCAAAGATAAGTATATCCTGGTACTTCGACTTGTCCTTGTATAGTACCTCCTTGACTTCCAAGGAAAAACACTGCCCCGGCCAAAGTTCTGATAACTCACTGAACCATCCTTTTCTGATACTATCCATCCTTCTAGACCTTTTCTGTATTAACCAGCCGGCGTTAAGACAGTACCTCCGGCGAGAAATATGCACAAGCCTGAACCAGGTACCACCAGATCGCAGATATCGATGCATATGCTGTTCCAGTGGTACTATCTGCCGACGTTGCCGAATTGCTTCAAACTACCATTGGCGTAGCTAAAACAACGGATGAGTACTGGCGTTACCGATTTTCCTTAAAAACAACTTTGGCATGTCCAAAAGTGTGTGCCACCAGCAAGTGCACGCACTTGCAAGAACCTGGGACAGTCAGAATTTAGATACTGATTGGGGTAATTATCTGACGTGATAGCTGATTTTCATTCTAAATATCATTCGTATACCTAAAATTGATCGGAGTATTCCGCAGGCGGCGAGCTTTATGTACCAGAACGGAATTATTGATGCAGATGTTGACCTAGTGGTAGTATTATCTGTTAACGTTGCCGACCTTACGTTAAGATGCTATTGGCGTAGCTTCAAAGGGCAACAACCACCTGCGAAACTATTGAACTGGTAAGACCCCTACTACAGTCAGAACACATGATGCATGAGTTGCCTGTTTTCCTTTAAAGTAGCATGGGTGTAACTAACAAAAGTTATGCGTATTTCACGAATGTTTGAACAATTGTGAGTACTTTTAAAACTAAAGAACTAATAGGTAGGTATTCTCTTGTTCTTCAGTTTTATACGACAAACTTCGACAAAATAGCGAAAATAATGTACATAGCTACAAAAATTATATCAGATATCATCAAAATATAATAAAAGTTCATGTAAATCTTATTAAAACTCTGTTACGTAAGCGACAGCATAGGGTGTACTCAAACACCAAAATATGGCACCCACATATTTTTTGGAAAAAAACGTTCTCAGGGTATCAGAAAAGCTATGCAGATATGACCTAGGCAATGACCTCAGAGGGCAGATGAAGGTCAAAAGTCCAAACACCAACCACCATTTTTTCTCCGTCGACTGTCTGCTTTCGCCATCTCTTAGGGATTTAACTTCAATCCAAGATTCCCAGGTGCACGCCGCGCATCTTCTTGATAAAAAGCAATCGCCGTAGAAGCCGTCTAGATAACAGCTGTCATCTCCAGACATGTCGAATGTTCGGGATGGCATCGCGGACGCTGCAAGAACACGACCACGCTCCATAGATGGTAATTCTAATTGCCTGAGCGTCGGCATTGCAGTTACGAGGTTTTACACTGCTCCCTCCTCAAGACCGTTTTGTCCCAGACTCCTGAATCATGATGTTATCGGCAAGTAGGCCATTTGGTGCACCTGGATTTTTTGTAGAAGTGGCATGCCACCACCATCTCCTGGACTCCTCTCCGCAGGAAGGCGTCGCTGCAAACCAGGATTTCTACCCCGTATGTTGGAACAGCACCTCCAGCATAATCAAATTCAAATTCCTTATTTTTCTTTTGGCGCATCATTGTGTATAGCAATCGTCGCAGTAAAACATAAAATGCAATACAAGATATAAATAAAAAGCAAACATACATACATGAAATGAATACATAGATAAACAGACATACAAACAACTATTTACAAACAAATTCACACAGTATAAAAACATTAATTTAATAAAAACTGCTCCAAGTCTGTTTAAAAAAATTATCACGGCACTCACAATTAGAGGTAATATGCTAAAAGCTTTTGAGCGTAAATCATTGACATTCTACTACTAATATAATCGAAGATGAATCTCGTTTTTTTTTGCCAGATATTATTGGTATGCGCAACACTGAAAACGTCTATTTAAAGATGTGTACATAAACAGTTCAAAAATAAATAAATAAATGTTAAAATATCCTTAGAGCAAGTACGAAGGGTGACTTTGTATGGTCCTCCAATCCAGTCCACCTCGCTCACATTCCAGCTTCGACATCGCCAGCCTCCGGACGTGCCACGCCGTTAGGTGGTGCCGTAGGTCTCTCAAGACTTCCCACATCGCCCGATAGGTCAGCTGCTGACAGTGAGCTGCCCTGGGACCAGTAAGTAGGCGAATCGGCCACGAACCAGAACACCCAGCACCTTCATGCGCCTCTTGAGGTGTTCATGTAGTATGCCAACGAGTATTCCCGAGGCAGCGAAAGCAAGTCCTCTTGTATTTCTCTGGTCACGTCTTGTTGAGTTCCAGGTACGCTCGGATGAACTCTTCCAGCGAGAGCTCAGTGTCTTCTGCTTGAACGGCAAACGGGGTCAGGCGATTGTAGTGTACGACCCTCGGCTTTCTCCTTGGCACTTTTCTGGATTCGGTAGACGACGTCGTTGATCCTCTTTAGAACCCCGTAAGGGCTGTGATGTGGCCCGTTAACTCGTTCATTGCATCCCAATCACGCTGGTGGCTGGACACCACCTTTGACAGGTACTTTCCAATGGTCCGGTTCAACATTTCCACTAGGCCGTCCGATTAGGATATAGCGCCGCAGTTATTGTCTTCCTGATGGCCGACCTCCCCTGGTCGGACTGCAGCTCCAGCATGACTCTTGACCGGCTGATGAGGTTGTCAACAAGAATGTCCGCAATTGTTGCAGCTTCTTGGGTGGGATACCGTACGAGTCGATCCAGTTACTAAAGTAGCCTATGACCACCAGTATGTATTCAGATTCTTAGATTTGCATATCCTAAGAATGCGGCGCGGATTGTTCAAAGACGCGATGATACTTTTCATCTCAAAATTCTGAGCTTGCTCGGTGAGGTTGATAATGGTTTTGCAGTATTTGCGGAAGCAGGAACACACCGTCTGTAATACGTGCACATCCCAAGGAAACTCCTTAACTGCGACTTGTCTGCCAGGAACAGGCCACTCTTTGATAGCCAGCACTTTCTCTGGATCGACTGCAACCCCATCCTGGCTGACTAAGTGGCCCTGGTAGTTCACCTGCTCCCGGTACAGACTGCACTTTTTTGGGTTCAATTTCAAGTTCTAGGGACCTCCAGAATGCCTCTTCTAAATTCCTCAGGTGTTCATCCAACGTCTTGCCTACCACGATGATGTCGTCCAGGTAGACGAGGTATGTTTTCCCAGGTAAGCCATGACAGCACCATCTCCATCAGTCTCTCGAACGATCAGGCGCGTTGGACGACCTGAGAATCATTACGGTGAACTGCCAGATTCCATGTCCGACTGTTAAGGCAGTCTGATCTTGGTCGGCAGGGTCCATTTCCACTTGCCAGTATCCATGTCCAGCGTCGAGAAGAAGACCGACCCAGATAGCTCATCCAACGTGGCAAAGATGCATGGAAACGGATGGCTGTCCTCCTTGGTGACGTTTTTTAAACGACAATAGTCAACGTAGAAACGAGTACACACATCCTTCTTCTTCACTAGCACCACAAATGACGCCCTTGTGCGACTGGATAGCTCTATCTATCTACTCGTCTATGTTGACAGCTTCCTTCCGCTTCGCCTTTAGGAATCTGCTTCTAACTTGATGGATTGGCTTTGCATCACCTGTGTCGATCTTTAATTTCGTGGCATTCGTCCGCACTGTGTTGGAGCCTTCACGATGACTCGATATAGGCTGTATCAGTTATATCCTGTAGACGGCTGCCACTTTCGGTCTTCTGTTCGGCAACAAACCTGACTTGAATATTAATCGATGTAACTGACGAACAAGTATCAACGACAGCTCATTTCTTCGCCGTGACAGGTTGGGAAGATGCGATTCAACAGTTGAAGTGGAACGACAATTTCAGCGATCTCCAACAGTTCACCTTGGCTCGTGGTCTCAGCTGGCTCTGCTATGACGATCGCTTCCGTGCCGACGCTCTCTTCGACACAATGATCCACGGTGGTCTCGCTGTTTGCAGGTGCCAGGTTGCCTTCAGCCATATCCCCACGGGCATGTACGTCCTTGTGGTTGTGCAGAATGGCTTCTTCGATTCTAACCTCGATGATGCGGTGCCCCAATGGTTGCTCATCATGTCCATGCCTAGGATCACATCCTCTTCGAAAACAGTAACGATGAGGGATGTTCTCGGAGCCGGTCTGTAAGGTTACGTGCGCCTCTCCATTTACAGCAACAGTAGCTCCCGTCGCGGTACGTAATTTCCAGGTGGATGGAAGTAGCTTCAGCGAACTTTTAACCAGACCTGGTCTCCTGATACACTTCATGGACTCGGTTCTCTCACAGTTCAGTCTCTAAAACGGTAAAAATCACTCTCGATACGCGCACGTACTTTCACTAACCCGTATACCTAAACCAATGTTATGAAAACACCGTTCTTATTGTTCAAAGTCTAATTTATTACTTTTTCACTAATTTATGACAAATTTATAACTATATCGACTGGACCGTTGACTGTTTACTCCGCCATCTTCTCGGTATTTCTCGCCAATCAATGGGTTCCAGATGCACGCCTTGCGTCTTCTCGATCGAAATCGATCTTCGTGGAAGCCGTCCAGATGGCGGTACTTCCACTTCCATACATGTGGGAATGCTTCAAAGCGTGGCGACGCTCCATACCTAGTCGCGTTATTCTGGTTACCTAAGCGTCGACACTGCAAAGGCGTCCCAGTTACGAGGGTGTTACTTTACTAATGACATTGTAGTATATCATACTGCTTGAACCACTTATGATTGCTTGACCTTTATGGAAAACACTTTGATGCAGGCCTCTACCTAGGTCATATTTGAGGTCATCAACGAATTGTCTTCCAGATATCTTGAAATTTTCCTTAAAACCATTTAAAAAAAAGAAAATGCCGGGTCGCCAAGTCTTTGGGATATTCGTGTACTTTCAGATCGTTACACTAGGTCATTCTGATTGCATGACTTATGACCGGTTGACTTCATGTGCGAAAATGTACCATGATGTACAATATCTCGAATTCGTTACGGATCTGCTGTCGAAAACAGTGATTGCTATTTGAATTTATAATCTTGACCTTCATATAAAATCTCAGGTCATTAGCTAGGTCATATTTGATGTTATCAACAAAATGCTTTTTGATATCCTGAAACTTTTTTGGAATCTTTTTTACCAAAACTGCGTGGACGCCAAGTTTTCTTGGCGTGAGGTACTTAATATACCGGGTATAGCTTGAAAAGCAGCAAAACTTAGTTATAAGCTTGAATTTTAGTCACGTTTCTAATAGTATCTTTAACAAAAGGTAAACGTGTTTGCTAAATGCCATGCTATAAAA